CATTTAAAGATATTTCATTATTTTTATATTTTTCCCAAGTGTTAATTATAAATGCAATATTCTCTTCTTGCTCTTTACGAGGCTTGTTAATATTTTGTTGTTTTATACTATATATTTTTAAATAAGTTTCACTTTGAGTATCCAATAAAATATGTATAACTTGCAGGTGAATAGATGGAGTAGAAGTATAAAACTGAGCATTATAGTGGCTATGGAAAGATTCTGGCCCATTGGTCGTTCTTGCCTCTGTTGAAGGTTCAGTTGCCCATAAAATCGGCGGGTAAGCGGCATCAGATGATATWTAATTGTTCAGTATATAATCAGTAAATTCAAAATTATCAGTAGGGCTATTTTCAATTAAATAAGTAAAAGCATCTTCTACATCTTCTGAAGGTAAAAATCCAAGTGCAAAAAATTGTTTCAACCAAACACCTAGTTCAGATTTTGAATTATAGTTTTTTTAATAAATTACTGTCACTTTGAATTTTCCTTAACCAAGATTGGCCTAAATGAAATCTGCAGGCCATAATTTTTCAGTTTGGGAAAAAATGTCTAACAGCGTTGTGAGCACTTWTTTCAAAATCTAAATGAAAATTTGAATACTTTAATGAATTTTGTATATCTATGTCGAATCTTAAACATAAATTAATAATTGTGTGCCACATTTGTATATAAGTTTTAGTTGATTTTGAAATTAAAAAACAATAAATTACAGGAACATAAAAACCATTTTGTAATATATGTATTGAATACAGTTGTTCAAAATATTTGGGTGCATACGAAAATGTTCCGTCTGCAAAAATATGAGAAGATTGACTCAATAGTTCAAGATTAGTTTTGCAAGTGAATATAACTGGACTTGAAGTTTCTTCCATGTGACAAAATAGTTCACCAGTATTAGTTATAATATTTTCACGACCATCAAACAACTGAGTTATCGCTTCCTCTAAAGATTTTGTAATTTTTTGCATATTCTTTCTACGTTTATCATACATACACTTTCTCCATAACTTTATATCAGAATAAACCGGCTGAATATCGTTTTCGGTATTTCTAAGTTCTTGCCTAATTATTTTATTTGGCCTAGTGAGAAGATCATTTTCACATTTTCTTTTTAAACGAGAACTCACAATATGCCTACTAATAATATTTTTTGGAATCACCTCATGTGTGTGTGCTCATTTAACATACTTAACACTTTGGTCACATACTTGTCAACGAGTAAACTGGCAGAACAATTTTTATTTGTACAGTTATACCGAATGTTCCCACATTTCTTCAGAACTTTAAATTCACTATATTTATAATCTTCAACTAAAATACACGGCTTACCTTTTTCTGTTTCAAATTGTTTTTGTATTTGTTTCTCCATTTCCCCAAAACAAAATTGCACAAAAATAAAACGGAAATATACACGTTGCACAATTTAGACTGTCACAATATAACGTTTAGATAATATGACGTGAGAATGTGACCGATGATTATCACACTATAGATCGCTTTAACGTACAGTATTAGTTAATTATCCATCGGATGTGAATACTCGTACGTTGGAAAAGCACAGCCACTAACATTTATCAGTTATTATCGGTTATTAGAGTAATAAAATATTATTAGACGCCATATAATAATAGTATCCACTGGCCGTAACAATTGTGTATACGTATAATACTATACTATAGATGAGTTTCTTAAACTATAACCATTTATTTCAAATTATTTAAATATTTGTGTTTGCTCAAAGGTAAAATATTTATAAGGTTATACTGAAATTTTCGATTTTTATGAGAATTTTTTTTTGAAGTGTCGGTAAAAAAATGTTGGACAACCAAAAAGACATGAAAATTTATTTAAAAATTGAATATAAGATTCCTTACAAGTTTTTCAATCTTTATCACAAAAAAAATGTCCACCGGAAATGCAAATTAAATTTTYATAAGCATTTGWATTTCAAATATTGACAAAAATTCGTCAAAACCATGAATATTTGCGAATTWTTTTGTAGTTAAAAATTCATAATATTTTTTGTATTTTTATCTAAGGTTATAAAATTCAACACTTAGTATTTTTACGATTTTTATGAAATCGCGTAATGATAACGATTTATCCTCAAACCAGGTATTCGTATATCTATGATAATATAAGGTATTATGAATTATGATAACTACACTAATTGATTAACCATGCCTTATTCAAAATGCGTCCTAATTGAAAAATAATTTATTTGTTTCAAAATAGAATATATGACAATATTTAAATATAATATATCCTAGACTGACAAATCATCTCCGTTCAGAATCGTTTTTCGTATACAATGATACCTATCATTGCATTCTAATTTAATCCCATCCATTACAGTAACCTACTGTACAGCAGAGCGACATCCACGACTTACCTGCTTTTTTTTAAATAATATAATTATAGTGTATAGGATACTTTCTTGGATGGAGACTGGAGAAGTGGAGACAGATCGTCAGATTTAGTATCTAGTTAAATTACAGTTTAAAACACCCCTCCAACAAAAATCCCTGGCTACACACTCGTTTGACATAAGATATCTTATAGATTTTGGAACGACATTATTATTTAAGCCTGGTGTATATGGAAATAAACGGATTCTTAACCCAAGAAGTCGGCTGCGTTACTGCAGTAATGAAAGAAATGAATATTATTCTTCTTCGTCCCAAAACAAATAAAAAATGTAGTCACCACCGAAAATTGGTTACACAATCGTTTTGTGACAAAAGAAAGAAAGAAAGAAAGACTTGATGTCTTGATGATTTTTCATCCATACCATAATGATATTAGTGATATTACCATAGAAATTTCGATGTCCTCTGTGGTTCGATGTTGTGGTCACAATTAATTTTTACGTATTAACGTATATGTTTGATATTTTGTATTTACGGTTGGTAACTCTGACTGTCGGAGTAATTCTGTGGTAACATTTGCTGTTATCATTTGTCTGAGAATTGCCCTTGTATTTTACATTTTACCACGGTTAAAGATATATCTTTAATTGTGCATTTTACATACCTTGTGTAGTCGTAGTCTTGTTATCGTTTCGGTATTCGGTGAGCCATGCGCATATTCGGTTGCGACTTGCGGCTCATTCGGTATTCCATAATCAACCTGCTGTATCGACTGTATTCCCGAGAAATCTGAATAGTGATTGGTAAATATTCAATATCGTGATGCTGAATTGTTGCAACTTACAAACATGCAGTAGATTTGATTTTCGAGACTACAACATTTTGAACGTCTATTAATATCTAACGGTTTAAATATCAAACTTATCAAAGATGTTCACTCACTAGAAACGAGATTGATATAATTTTTAACTGAGGTTGGACATTTTGAACGGAACTCATTTGCTTAAAACGGCAGTAAGATGGATGTTTCGAATGTTTCGATGGATACATCAGACCAGGAGACAGTTCCATTAAATTCAAATAGGTAATTTTATTAACATAACATTTTTATCTAGTCATAATGACTATTTGTTGTGGTATATCGTATATAATATACAATATACACAGTTAAATTGCTATTTATAACATACCTTACTTAGGTTGTAAAATATGTTCTTTAACCAATATTTCTTTATATGATTGTTAGTGCACTACCTTTTGTTTTATTTATTGGTCCCACATACCTTATAAAATTTGTATTCAGCAGAAGAAATGTTGTGTTATAATCTTTGATATCAGAGTAAATTCATTACCCTGTTTGGAATCGACGATGATGGGAGAACTTTTTTCTCCACATTCCTTCCATAAGAGTGAATTGACTTACAGTTGAACCTTGATTATCTGAACTCCAGTTAAATAAACCCTCGGTTATGTAAACAAATATCAAATGCAATTTACATATTTGAATATCAGTGAGCGTTGTAATGCTTRTACACATAATCATTTAGACAAGTAGCTAAGTCTTAATATGTATAATAAATTAATATATATACAGTCGCTACCATCTATAACCACGCCGGTCGTYACGACATATGGGGTATAACGACGTCAATTTCAAGTACCCGCCAAAATTCCGTTTATTTTAACATACAAAATAACTGGTTGTAACGACATGGAAGTAACGACAATATCGGCTAATACGACTTAAAAATCGGTCCGTAACACACATTTTAATCGTATATAACGACTAGGGTATCTACTATCTTCACATAGTTATTTTGTAATGTATTACTATACTCATATTAGCTGCTTTCATACGTACATAGGAATATTAAGYGACGAGGACATAGTGAGTACAATATCCAAACCAAATGAAGAAGAGGAGGAAATAACTAATGAAGATAAAGATTATTTAACTGTAGACGAAGCGTATAAATCACTAGAAAATATTGTTAATTTTTCATTACTAAATAATATTGACTTGAATCAAAATTTTAATTCATTAAAGCCACTATACAAAATATGCTATTAAATGATAAATCAAAACAGCTAAAGATCACTGACTTCTTAAAATAATTTTGTAAAATAGAAAGTGTAAAAAAATATATTACGTAAACAATATTTTAAATTCTATTATAAAAAAAAAAAAAATGTATAATGTAAGCAATATTTAAAATTCTAATAAAATAATATTTAGTTATAACAACATCTGGTTATAACGACGTATATTTTACGGTCCCTTGACAGTCGTTATAGATGATACGGACTGTACCTAATTGTTCAATATTAATAATTATATATTGTAAAATGTCCTCATGTCTTATAATTATATTATGTATGTTTTTTCATGATTCATATGAACATACCTATTAAAGTTTTCCCAGTTATGATAGTAGTTCCACTAGGTATCTAAACTCACCTTTAAATTGATTAGGATAATTAAGGTTCTACTATACATATTAAGCAAATTATGAGTAGGTATGTAAAATATTAAATAGTTAAAAAA